ACCTTGGCCAATAGCTTGTCTCAGTGTTAGACACCACCTGCTCTGAATAGAAGCATCTTTTTGCATTACTTAACTTTGACATCACTATTTTCACAGTTTGGAATATAACACCTGTTTGATTTAAAATTAAATACTTCATTGTGTGTAATATCACAATGTAAAAAGAAATTTGGAACTCAGCAGCCTAAAGACAATGGGTAATAATGCTGGACTCACATTTATAATCTTAAAAAATAAAAATTATAAAGCCAAGAAGTCTCAGTGTGGATAGAAGTTTAGACAGTATTTACATGGTACAAGATGAGTATAAAGTTTCAGGGTAACAAAGGGCGAGTTCATCCTTTGGCATGCAAGAAAGGAAGAGCACTGGATTTCACAAAGGAGTCAGGACCCATATAAAGAGGAAACCAGAAAGGCAGCGTGGAGAGAGGAAGGAAACAGTCCACACTTCCCACATGGAGACCAGGTGATATCAGTTTGGAGGATTCACAGAGGATAAGGCATCTGGGCAAAGAGCCCTGTTTCTGAAAGACTGGCATTCCATTTCAAATGAGAGACATGTGGTGTTGGTATGTGTCAACCTAGTGGAGAAATTTCCTGTGACAGTCTTCAAAGCAGACTAGATTTGTGAACACAGGGACTCCATTTATTCACAATTCATAGAGTACTATTATCAGGGGCCCACTGGGACAGTTTATGGAACAGTCAAATCCCAAGGAGCCTGGGGATCACACTGACTGAGTTTGTGTGTGTCAGGTGGTCCAATAGACAGGCATGGACACTGGCCTGTTCAGATGCAGATACTCTGACTAAAGTCAAGAAGAAAGAACCACAGATTGACTATATCTGTCAGGGCACCTAAAATATAACTTGATGCTTCTGACTAGAGACACATGTTTAAGATTGCATTAGTGCTACGTGGATAGGTCAAGGAAATGTCAGAAGAATATTGAGATTACAAATGCCATATAACCCCCTGGACAACTCTGCTGATGTCCACGCCAATATTTCCTCCCATTGTGTTGACTTGTGTTTCTATAAATCTGAAGTTAAATAAACCCTGCTTCCTGTAAGTAGATCTTTGCCAACTATTAGATCATAACCACAAGAAAAAATAGTAGTTGAGTAGCTTGAGAGAAGAATGTGAGAGAAAAAATTTAGAAATCACTGTGGATTTTACAAGCATTGATTGGACAGTTGCATGTGACATCACATGGAGTCCAAGTGATGTAAGCTAGATATCAGCCAATAAAAGGGTGCCACCTAGGGCTGGGTTTCATCTTTGTATTTCAGAGAAGTGGTTGGTGAGAGAGCAGTTGGATTCAGTTGTTTCTGCTAGATTTGGATTTTTCAAAGCCTGTCGGATCTCGATTTAGTGAGTATATTTCCCAGGTTTTCAGTTTAGGCTTTTGTCATTTGTTATCTATTCACTGCATTATTTACATTTTTGGTTTGGGTTTGGTTTTTGCCTATAAATGCTTTTTCCTCATTTCACCTCATTTTCCTTTTTATCAACTTCGTTCTTTCTCATTTTTGCCTTTGTTCTTGTATAACATATATATTTATACATATAGTGGTATATATTATCTCTATAGCATCAGGAATTTGATCATGACTTCCCATATCGGACTATTTTGCATTATAATCATATTTACATGCTCTATTTCACTTACCCACACATAGAATGTGACAAGTACTTCCAAATGATCTGAGGTTCTTCCCTCTGCGTGTTCAGGATCCCTAGGAAACAAAATGTGACAGTTGTGTTTGTGGAACTGGAATATTTGAAGTAACACTTTCTCTAGTTCCAAATGTTTTCCTGAAAAAGCCATTTCATTCCTTTGATGTCCAATTATAGGACTTACATCAACGTTGTGTGTATGTTCTGCTTTGTGTCAATTTCTATGTGTGGACGAATCGTAATGTTCCTGGGTGATCGTGAATTATGGTCTTAATGTGTTGTTGAATTTGGTGTGAGCTATCTCTCATTAAGGATTTCCTAATCTATGATAGTCAAGGATATTGGCTGACACTGACCTCTTTTTAAGTTTTATTTACTTGGTGTGAGAATAAGGGTAATGCATCTTTTATGAGAAGAAAATTGAAAACGTTCCTTCCCTCAGACTTATAGGATACTGAAATATCTGGAGAACATTGCTGTTAGATGTTGAGATGATAGAATTCATCAGTGAATTGTCCTGGTCACTGTATGAGTCTTTCTTGATACTCACTACTTTCAGAGTGTTTGTCTAGTTTTATTTCCTAGACTTTAATTTTCCCTTTGACTTGTTATTTCCCTCCTTCTTGGATGTATTTTTATTTTTTATCAGGGGAAGGAGGGAATGGCCAGAGCTTACAGAAGGACAGTGATGCATGGACAGATCTTCCTTTCAGACAAAAGGTCATTAGTAAAGATGGTCTGGACACTCTGTGGGTGTCTGAAGGAGTTTTATTCCCACCAGACAAAGTGTGTCTCCATTAACTTCATGGAGTCTGAGGGGAAAGGAGTTGCTTCAACATCAAGAAGCAGGCTTGGTTAACATGAGACCTATGCTACATGACAGAGGATGGGATCTGGAATTTAGGCTACTGAAGAGCTCATTGATCAGATTCATGGGGTGGATGGGAGAGATACAGTCAATGTGTGACTGTGTGACAGCAAAAAATCTGTCTTTGCTTCTGGGAAAGTAACAGGAAAGGGATGGGGAAGGATAACAGCCCTCTCTGCTAAGGGCATTTGTCCTTGGGGACAAGAACGTGAACAGAAAAAAAATTAATAATTTAACAGAAAATAATTTTAAAAAATCACTGTGGTTTTTTCCAAGCCTTGATTGGTCCATAGCATGTGACATCACACGGAATCCTTTTGAGATATGCTAGACACTAGCCAATCAAGAGGCACTGTCTGAGGCTGGGTTTAGTCTGTACTTCAGATAATCCGTTGGTTGGTGGGAGAGCAGTTGGACTCTTGTTGTTTCCCATACACTTGACCTTTTTCTTGACCTGTTGGATCTGGACATAGTGAGTTTGTTTCCCAAGTTCTCAGTTTGCGATTTTGTCAATTGTACTTAATTATTTCTTTATTTACATTATTGGTTTGGGTAGTATTTTTTCCCTGTAATTTTTTTCTTAATTTCAACTTGTTTTCCTTCTATCAACTTCTTTTCTTTGTCATTTTTGGCAGTGTTCTTGTGTATTTTACAAATTTATTGTTATATATTAAATGCATATGATGAGGAATTTGACATGACTGATATCTGGCTGTACTCTACTTTGATCATATTTGTCTGCTCTATTTTACTTCTCAACCCATTGAATTGGACAAGTACTTTGTCAAGGGGACAAGTCCCATTGAATTGGACCCATTATACAAAGGCTGTCCCCCTGCCTGCTCATGACCTGGAGTGAACAAAATGTGACACTTGTGTTTGTGGAACTGGCATGTTTGTAGGAACACTTTCACTAATTCCAGGTTTTCTCCTGAATTAGGCATTCCATTCCACTGATGTCTGATTTAGGACCTACCTCAGTGTGGTGTGTATGCTGTGCTCTTTGGCAGTTTCTGTCTGTGGATGAATCTTGAGTGTTTCTGGTTAAAGACATCTTGATCATGAAGTCTGGTCTTATTAATGTAGTGTTGAATTTGATGTGAGCTATCAATTACTCTTATTGATGTTTTTCCAACCTGTTACTCAAGGATATTACCTGATACTGGGATCTTTCTTAAATGTCTTCTATGGTTTGGAAATTAGGGGAATACTTCTTTTATGAAATGCGCTTGAAAGTGTGCCTTCCCTCCGTTTTATGGACTACTGAAATACTGTGGATCATTGCTGCTAGTTGTTGAGATTGGACAAGTTGATTTCCAGTTTGTTGGTTTTGGCTCCTGGGATTTAGATTTGCTGTTTCATATTTATATTTATGTTTTTCAGTTTTCTTTATATTTATTCTTCTTTCATACAGTACATCCTCCTGTATGTATACATCCTGACTGCATCCTCCCCTCCCTCAACTCACCTCCTCTCTCTACCAGATCCACTGCTCCTCTGTTTCCCTTTAGAAAAGAGCAGACTCCAAGGGATAGCAACTGAACATGGAATAATGAGATGCAATAAAAGTATATTTAAATTTTAGTTTTTTTCTTTTAATACTTTTGAAGAAACATTTAATTTTTTGTTCTTTGAGAATTTCATTTTATTTTTATTATTAAATTTTTTTCTTTTCATTTTACATGCATACACAGATTCCCCTATCCTCCCTCCTCCTGCCCCTGAGCCTTCCCCCCAACTTACCCCCTATTCCCACCTCCTCCAAGGCAAGGTCTCCCATGGGGAGTCAGCAGAGCCTGGTACATTCATTGAGGTATGTCCAAGCCCCTCCCCCTGCACTAAGTCTGCACAAGGTGTCCCACCATAGGCAGTGAGTTCCAAAAAGCCTGCTTATACTCCAGGCATGGATTCTGATCCCATTGCCTTGGGGCCCCCTAGCCAGTTCAAGCTAAACAACTGTCTTGCCTATCCAGAGGGCTTAGTCCAGTCCCATGGGGGCACCTCAGCTATTGGTCCACAGTTCATGTGTTTCCACTAGTTTGGCTAGTTGTCTCTGTACTTTTTCCGATCATGATCTCAATGTCCCTTGCTCATAGAATCCCTCCTCTCTCTCATTGATTGGACTCCTGGAGCTTGGCCTGGCACTTGGCCATGGATCTCGGCATCTGCTTCCATCAGTTACTGGATGAGGGTCTATAATGACAGTTAAGGTATTCACTGTTCTGATTACTGGATTAGGACAGTTCAGGCACCCTCTCGACTATTGCTAATAGTCTAAGGTGGGGTCATCCTTGTGGATTCCTGAGAACTTCCCTAGCATCCTGTTTCTCCCTATTCCAATGATGTCTTTATTTATCATGGTGTCTCTTTCCTTGTTCTCCCACTCTTTCCCTGTTCCAGCTCAAACCTCCCCATTCCCTTACGTTCTCATCCTCCAGTCCTTGCCCTCCATTACCCTACCTCACCCCCAGTTTGCTCATGTAGATCTCATCTATTTCTCCTCCACTGGGCTATCTATGTATCTCTCTTGGGATCTTCATTGTTCGCTAGCTTCTCTGGAGCTGTGGGTTGTAGTCTGGTTAACCTTTGCTTTGCATCTAGTATCCACTTATGAGTGAATACCTACCATGTTTATCCTTCTGAGTATGGGTTATTTCACTCAGGATATTTTTTATATATACACATTCTCATAAGCAATTGCATGATACATTTCTGTACAAGCCTATACTGTACTTGATCATATTTCCCTGCACTACGTCAGTCCCCCACCATATCTTTGTGACTGATACTGTGACTTTACACAAGCCTAGTCCTCTCATTCCTTATGACAAGGAGAGACAAAGTAGATCCTGTTTCTGTCTGTGGACCTGCTTTGTCTCCTGTAGAACTCTATCTAGTTTAGCTACTTTCCTTATAACACAACAGTTCTCTAGTCACTGTGCTGAGTGTGGATTCTTCCCACGGTCTCCTTATGTGCTATGCTCTTGTTCCATTTGATACAATGTTACTTCTGCCATTGGGACCATGAACTAAGGGCTCTTTAGTGTGTTGGATGATGGAGGTGAAGTATCAGGGACTCTCATGAATGATCTTCACATCTATGCTCATCAAGGAAAGGAGCTCACACTTGCTCCATTCTTTGAGCTTACTTGGTGGTGGGATCAGGCTAACACTGGCACAGGGATGAGTTTGGATGTGGGCCTTTGCATTTTCTCTCTTGAAAAATTTTCTATAACCCTGGCCTTCATTCTTCTGCTAAGCTTTGAATGATTCAGGGAATCTATGAGATCTGGGCTCTGCTTGTTTGGAGCTGTTTTTGTTGCCAGTCCAAACTGGTTGCTTATGACTTATGTGTTTAAGTGTTTTTATTTTATCTTAACTCAATATTCACACATGTGTAGGAATTCCTTTCATATTTTATAATTTTCTGGAGTATAAAAACTGTAACATCCTAAAGGCCCTCTGGACTGTAGTTATATCAGTTACAACATCAATTTTCTACACTGTAATTTGTATCTGATCTCTTTTGATCAGCTTTGTTGAGGGGTTTTCATCGTGGCACATCTGTGAACAGAAGCACCTCATTATTTCAGGGATCTCAGGATTTTCCTTTGCATACCAACTTTACTTATACCAACTCTGATCTTTCCTATGATTTCTCATCCACTGCCTTGGGTTTAGGATCTTCTAGTATTTTTATATCCTTGAAGAGCATCATTAGATTGCTTGGGATATCTCAGATTTCATGACAGAGAATCCTAAGCTATGTCCTCCCCTTCTAAAACTGCACTAAACTTTTTCTTTTAGCATTGTGTGAGTCTGAAATTGCACACAAGATAAAGTGGTTGAAATTGAGCAAAACACCATGGGCAGCCACATAGAAGAGGACTATCTTGAAAAGGATTTCAGGATGTTAACATCTCTAGGTTGTGGTTCCTTCGGGGAGGTGAAGCTGGCCTGCCACCTTCCCACACATACACGAGTGGCTGTCAAGGTCCTTGAGAAAAACACCAACAGTGTGGCTGACATCAGTACTGAAGTGAACATCCTTCAGTCTCTGGAACACAGGAACATCGTTTGATTTTTTCACATGATCGACACACTGACAACCACTTATCTGATTATGGAGTATGTGGCAGGAGAAGATCTGGAGAGCTGCCTCCAGGCACTGGGCTGTCTAAAGGAGGAGGAGGCTAGAGTGATTTTCCCGGCAGGTGGTGTCAGCGGTTCACTTCCTCCACCAGAGACACATCGCACACCATGATATCAAATTAGAAAACATCCTAGTCGATGAAGCAGGAAATGCAAAACTTTGTGACTTCGGCATGGCAATTGAAATCACAGAGGGGCAGATGTTGGAGGAGATCTGTGGCTCCTTGCTCTATTGGGCCCCAGAGATCTTGGCAAGAAAGACCTATGATGGACTGGCAGGTGATATGTGGAGCTTGGGTATCGTCCTGTATGTCCTGGTCACAGGGCACTTTCCATACATGGAAGAAACCCTTGAAGGTATGCACAGGGTCATCACCACCACAATGTGTCCCATTCCCTACCATCTGTCAAAACCCTGTCACATCATCATTGCCCGACTACTCATGGTCCCTATCTGGTACCGATTCACAATCTGTCAGCTTGTGGAAAGAGCATGGCTGGGCCCAATTCAAGAACATGTACTGCCTGCCACCAAAGAAATCCTGCCCAGGGTCATAGAGACTATGTGCACCATCGACTATACGTGTGAGGAGATTGTTTTATCCCAAACTCACAGGCGAGAGGATACTCATGTAACAGCTACATGCAACATTCTCAAATATCAGCTGAGTGGTGGAGACAGCCATCAGCAAAATCAGATGCCCTGGTTAACCAACAGCCCTGCAGGTCCTGTTCACCTCCCTCTCCCCTTGAAGAGAGCCAGTGATCCAGCACTTATAACCAGTAAACATCCTGGGAAGGGTCACTTTAAGGAGGAGGGTGTGGAAGAAAGAGGCAAAAGATGCAGAAGCTACACCATGCCTCACAGAATCTCCTTCCTGGAGGCAATGCCAGGTTCAGACAACACAGTCCCAGAAAGAGATGCTCTTGTTGCTGATATCATCAACACTGCTACAGAGGACATTTCAGTCAACAGGAATTCTGTTGACTCCCTGATTGGCAATCTCTCTTCCCCTGAATCAATCTTCGATGCAACACCCATGGGATTTCTGAACCTGGGCTTCTCTGAAGAAGATTCATCCCAGGAGCCAGGAATTCCCAGTGACCAGCCCCAGGTGGCACCCATGACATCTGGCTCCAGGTCATTCAGGGTCTGGAAACTGGTGAGGAAGCAAATTTCCCATGTATTGAGAGCACTGTGCTGCTGCTGCTGCTGCTGCTGCTGCTGCTGCTGCTGCTGCTGCTGCTGCCTGCCCACCCCAAGGTGAGCCCTGAACCCTTGCATCAGGGGCTGCAAGGAAAGAGAGAACATGGGGGACCCACATGGAGACCAGTTGGTTGGGCCACACAGATCAATTCCTACATTGTCTATTCAATATGCTATTTCAATATCCTTTTAAAATGAAAAGTTGTACCCACTCAGAGGGCCTAGAATTTCAGATATGTAGTACATTAGATGTCAAATTCACAGCTTCCTGTTCATGTAAAGTCCTGGAAGTTTGAGGCAAAAGCAGATAGCATAGCATGGGGACCACAGGGTGGGAAGGAAGGGAGGAGAGTTTGTCTAAAGGGGTTAAAGGTTTAGAATGGAAGAATCAGGAAGAGAAATATGGCACAGAACTTTTATCTGCCAAAGTCACTAATAGAGGTGCTTTCATGTTTCTTTCTGCTTTGAAGTGTGGAAACTGAAATGGCCCAATAGAATTCCAGACCTGGTGAGGAGTGACTGCCACAGAAGTGAGCCAGATCTGATCTCCAGAGTGCCAGCTCCCTCTAACCCAGGGCAACAGGCTCCTGCCTGCATTCATCCTCCAGCTACTGGGTCTGAGCTGCCACTCTGCATCTCTTTCAGCTTAATCCAGCTTCAGAACTGTTGTGGGACAATTGGGTGTCATAAGGCACTTGGACCCCATGACCCTCTACCTTCCCAACTTTGGTTGTGTTTGTAGGACCACTCACACTGCATGGAAAACAGCAGCCTCCGCCACCAGGAGTAACTTCATACAATCTAGGCTGCTCATCATCTTGGTCACTTTAACCCTCCAACTTACTCTATGACTGCCTTTTGGAAAGAACAGTAAGACCTGTGTAAATCCTCTGAAGAATGGAGTTGAGTGAAAGGAGATAAATGGGACTAATTGGGGAACAATTTTGAGACAGGAATAGGGGACATGAGAGGTGGTGTAGAATAAGGACTAGAGTCTGTCCTGAGGAACTTCCTGTCAACAAAGTAACATGAAGGAGATTTGTGTGCTGACCTGTGACAGGGGACGTGCACAGTCTAGAGCAGGAAGAAACCTCCCCTGAAGTGCAGACTGGGAGGGAGCTAGGAAGAGCCAGCAATGAGGAGGAGAGGGCCTGCTCTGATGGTTCCTAGCATGTGTCAAGGCACACAAGTAGGATGTTGTCTTGGAAATAACATCCTGTTCTTTCCTACAGAGCTGGGGTGCAGCAGGAGAAAGATGCAGCACTATTGGTCAGTGGAGTCCCGTCCTCCTCAGTGCTGAGTAAGTCCTGTCTGTTAAAGTCACTAAGAGAAGCACTTTCCTTATTCTTTCAGGTTTTATTTGGGGAAAGTGAAATGGTCTACTTGAACTACAGTCTTGGTGTGGTGTAGTGCAACAGGAAGGATCCAGGCTGGAAATCTGTGTCCTGTGTGATGATATGTTAGGGCTACAGGTTCCAGTATCCATCCTCCAGGTTAGGGTCTCAGCTGCTATCTTCCCCATCCTTCACCTCACTGCTGCCCCTGCACTGTGGCTGAACATCCCTGAGAGTCACATGTAGCATCGACCCAATGAATGTCTACATCCCTCATGGTTCCTGAGGGACCAGAGTTCCATGACATCAAAAAGGGCTGCCTCTGTCAACAGGACAGACTGGCTCACAGGTCTCAGGCTTCCCTCTTCTTTGATCCCTTCATCACCTCCAACCTGCTTTCTGACTGTCTTTCAGAAGAACTGCAGGAACTGTAAATCCACTGGGAGATGGGAGGATGGAGATAAGGGGAGGAACAGGGGAAAGGAGGTGGAGAGGATAAAGAGGAAATGAGAGGACCTGTAGAGAGGGTAGAGTGTGTCCAGAGGAGCTTACCTGAAATGAGTGGAGAAGAGGAGGTTTTGCTGGGGCAGGTGTTGAAGAAGTGAGACCAGGAACAAATATCTCAAACAGATCAGAGTGTGAACTCTGGTTTGAACTCTAGCACTCTATTGCCAGTCAAGAGGAGGAAGGCCCTGATCATTTCTGGCATATATCAAGGTAGAGAAACATGAGCCTTCTTTGGAAAGGGATTCCCATTCTGGGCTATTGAAGAAGGGTGTGTCAAGAGAGAAGGGTTCAGTGGAGTCCTCTCCTGCTCCAGTCTGACATGGCCTTTGGCAGATCTGATGACATCTATGTCTTTGTCTCCATAGCCTCCTTCATCCAGGATTCCCATGTTGCTTCTCACCTCCTGATCCAAGAATCTTGCATCATTTTCCAATCTCATGGAGGGATTTATAACTGGTATTTGAAGTTACATTAACTTTATTCTGTCCCAGTGTGGAAAGTTAAGTAGGCATTGCTAGGCCTGATGCTGAGTATTGCCTTTACAAGGCCAGCAGCCATTGGAATTCTTTATGACCAATGCTCACCATAGGGGTCAGGTTTACAAGGAAACCTTGATTATCATGGAGTTTTTGATGACAGCTACTGATGCATTGTGAAGCACTGGTTGAGTGTAGTGTCTCAATTGTTTTCCAGGACGCCTTCCAGTTAGGGAGCAGCTCACTGATTTGGCAAAGGGAAATGAACTCAACAGGGAATCCAGGGTCCTAATCTATGTGAATCATGCACCTGAAGGTAAGACTGAGTACAGTAAGTATCTGTGTGTGGTAGAAGATGAGTCTCTGAAGCCTGGTCTGGATGTGGTAAAAAGGATCCCATGAGGTGGCATGTGCCAACATCCCTGACACAGAGGGAAAGTTATCATTGACTTGCTCAACTGAAGAGCAATGGGAGACTGAGAGACTGCAGAGGTGTGACAAGGGAGGAACCAGCTTCTCTGCTGTAGTTGGCCTCCACCTCCACTCAGACCATCCGATCCTGGCCTGTTAGCAAACACTGATGCATGTTAAAGTCTTTGGCCAGATCTTCCCAGTGGATGATAACCAGCTTGTGCTGTCACTGACTTCTAGAACCCTGACCATCTTGTGAGTCCCAAGTGCACAATACAGGATCAGTCAGTTTGTTCGGGAAGAGAGAGAGAGAAATGTTCAGTTTGTGGGTATCACCTGGTGTCAGACTGTGTTTCTGCTGCATATCAGTGAAGGCAGGGCTGAGAAATGGTTGAGGAGTCTGTTAATGAGATAGGGAAATTTCCTGAATCCTCATTTTTATATATTTTACTCTTTTTGAGACTGGATCTCACTGTATGGCCCTGGGTATCCTGAGACTCTCTGTGTAGACATACAGCTCTGAAACTCATAGAGATTGACCCCATTTCTCTGCCTCCTGAATGCTGTGATTACACATGTGGACTCCCATGCCTGGCTTCATCTACTGTTTGTATAGCATCAATGGTAAATTCCTCAAACATTTGAAGGAAAGGAGACAAGTCCTGTCCTTCTTTCATCTCAACAGTGTCAGGGATTGAAGTGAAGGTTCTTTCATCTAGGATGGACTACAAACAGCAGCAAAGTCCAAATCTAACCTTCAGAATAGAAGTCTATGTCCACCAGTGAACAGATACCTGGAGGTGAGAACTGCTGTCATGAATTCTTCTGGGTACCCCAGACAGTGGGCTGGAGGCGGAATGCCCTAGCTGATACAGCCTTGGAAACAAGGCACAGAACATGCAAAGGCTACTCTCTAATCCTTGTTCATAGGATCCCCACTGTAGTGCAGGCACAAATCCCATGACCTCAACCCGACCAATCGGGAGAGTCCAGATTTACTAACTGGTCTGATTGATTGAGTTCTTTCCATTTGAGCCTTGAGATTACAGCTGAGTACTCAAGGTGAGACTTGATGCCTGTCTTGGGATGTTGGAGGCAGGGCTTTCACTTTAAGGACCCCAGTGGCAGAGGCAGTACATGAAGCCACATATTCTAGATAGGAGCTTCCAGTTCTACTCATCTGACACCCAGATTCTGTCTGCTTGTCTGATAACTTCCATGACTCCTCTTGCTCATGGGTCCCACAGTCCTTTTGTTATTTGTCAAAACCACTTTGGGTTGGTTTTAGGCCACTGAATTTTGTTCATATTCCCTAGCTAATTGAGAGCCAGGGCTGTAGATTTCTGGATTCTTAACCAACTAGGACTCTGTACACCCCACTCTAGACAGTGCATGATGGTAGAGGTGATCAGCCTCCCAAGAACATTGTGGACCATCCCAGGAAGACCACTGTCCTATTCCATGTCCTGAGTGTTCTGTTGTTCATGTTCTGATGCCTATAACCTGCAGATTTTGCATATGAAAAAGAAAGTGACCTTTATCTTTGAGACAAGCTTGTTACACGCAATACAGTCATCCTCAGTTGTATCTGTTTTCTGAAAAGTGTGTAAATTTCACTCTTTGGGGTGAGTATGTGCTCTTTCCCCTTGCCCGTATGCTCTTCATTTATTTATTCCATTTACTTATTTATTTATTCATTTGTTTATTTATTTATCTATTTATTTATTTATCTCTATATACATATGTATATATATGTATATATATTCATTCTATGTGTCTTGTACATCAGGTATTTTGATTACATTCATGTCCCCATCATTTCACATCCGCCCTCCACCCCTACAACTGCCCCAATACAACAAAATTTAACAGAAAAAAAGGAAAGATAAGATAAAATGAAAAAGGGGGAAAAGGGGGAAACTTAAAGGTTTCCTCATGGAAGCTGCAGTGACCAAATGTGACAGAGTGAGTCACACTGTAAAGCCCTCTGTCCACATATCTTCACTTGTTAGTGCTCATTGCGGAGTCACTGGTCTGGTTCCAGGCCTTCAGTGTCTATGACACTAATTAATTTTGTGTTTGATACTGTCATTTGTCCTTTGCATTTGGCACATTAACTTTTTCACTGTCTAGGTATGCAAATTTAAAACTCTGACTTCAAAATCACCAGTGCCACAGTACAAACACACTTCTAAATAAAGTGTCATGGTTGAGCTGGAGATGGAGAGCAGAGGACGATAACCAGGGATTGCAGAGGCAGCAGGAAAGAATTGACTAAGGGAGGAATTTAGAGAGAATGGAAGAGACAGATGGGAGGAGCCATGGGAAGAGGGATGCATAGGAGGTCTAGCTTAAGTGCTGCACATTTCAAATTCCCCTAGAGTCCCTTTCCCATGTCCGTCCTCTTTAAAGTGATGAGCTCTCTACATCAGGAGACACAGGGTAGCGACTTACAGGTGTGGCCTGAGACAGCAGAAGCAGGAGCTCTGCAGGAAGTCCAGATGGCAGTGTGCCCACTTCCCCAGCATGAAGGGTCTGTGTCCAGCACAGGAGGAGGTGAGCCAATTACCACAGATTTCCCTCCAGAAAATCCTCATTATCAAGGTAATATGATCAAGGGCTAGTGTTTCACAGCATCCTCCTCAATGGGGGCCATGAGCCAATATCACGTGCAAGCTGCCCTTGAACATGCAGACCCTGTGGACCAGTCTGCGGGGGAATAACTAGCAGTACTCATTAACCTGTCCACCCTTCAGGTTTCTGATCCTAGTGAATTGTTTCCCCACATGAGGAGAAGGGAGCTCCTTCCTCTCCTTCCTCTTCCTCCTTCCCTGCTGCAGCCTTCATTTATCCCTGTGTCCTGACCATCAGAAAAGACACAGTTACACTGCATGCTGGGCTAGTTTATGTGTTTGTGAAGGGGCCTCACCGTAGGGAGTTTTATCAGAACCATATTTGTCTCCTAACAGGAAAGTGACAGCAAGCTGGAGGAAAATGGGTACCACTTTGGATGGAATGCTGGGACATTGCTCCACTTTGGAAGTGAGTAGGCCTTACCTAGCCTAGGGCACAGTGGTCAGAGGTGGGGTCAGCACTCCTAAAACTACTTTGTACTCAGTTCCACTGGGTACAGCGGTCAGGCCTAGACATCCTTGTTGACCATAGAGCTATGTCTTTCTGCTAGGCTGTCTGCTTGCTTGTCCTGCTGGGATAATTGTTTAAACTGTTGTCCCGTGCACCTGACAGGCAGACAGCCTCTCCATGCAGTGAAGGATGGCCACTCTGAATGGAATGATTGTCAAGGCTCATTTCTGGGCAGCACATGGCTGAAAGCATCACTGAGACCACTATCTAACAGCCTGTAGTAGATGATTAGTTTTTGGTTTCTGGTTTAAACTTGACTCTGGCTTAGAGGTTAGGAAGAATGAGGCTTCTCAGGCAGGTCTGCCTCAATCCCAAGGGTAGATGATCATTAGGCTTGTGTTACAGAGGAAGAGAAAAAG